CACCCCTGGCGCCGTTGCCCACCTCTCAATTTTGAATACACGTAGACATTGAGGGCTAGCAGGAGGGACCATGCACTTACCTGCTGCTCTCTGGCAGGTAGCTCCAAGCCCTCCTGGGTTTTAAATGCACCTTAGAACACACATGCATCAACACTACAATGAGCGGGTGGAGGGAGGTTTGGAGTCTTCTCTCACCCCCATTCTCTGCGGCTGGTCTGGAAAATGGGGCCTCCCTGCTGCTGCCGAGTCGGGGCGGTCTGCTTCTCCCCAACCCAGGGAAAAGGGTAACACCACCTGGGTCTGGGTGCAGTCCCCCCCCTCCCCCCCCAGCAGTCTCCCAGCAGGGGCAAGGGTACCTTGAAGGACTGGGTGTTCAAAGTTAAATTGGGCACATAGAACCAGGCTGAATAACAACATCCTGCATTCATCAAGAATCATATATGGAATTGCATCGTACTATATCACTGTCATCAGGTGGGGAAAATGTTGAGGGGCTGCTGCTGCTCAGATTGTAGGGTAGTCACATTTATACCTTCTCCAGAATACTGTATGTACTGTGGCCACAAGTTTGTATCTATCGTGGTGGGGATCCAGAATCCTTCACTTATTATTTATTCCTAGTGCTATAATAATAAAGTAATAAGAACAAAACAATAAAGTAATAAATAATAAATACAAAGTTAATAAAAGGACAGAGAATGTTTTGTTGCGTTGTTGTACAGTGCACACACAGCACGCTCATTTGTTTTAGTTCGTCGCTCTTTGCAAACATGTTCCTGGCTCGTAACCAGCCTGCTCTGCCGTCAAGGGTGAGCATTGGTTAATGGTCATCCTGTGACTGATGCAAGCCAAATCATTTCATTTAGCCAAGTGTTACGTGCCAAGAGATGAGGCTTTGCTTTTGGTGTTCTTTTTATCTTTCAGGTGTCAAGCCTCCACCTGTTGGCCAGTTCAAAGTTGATTGGCATGTGTTTATTGGCTGGTCTGGGCACAGTTGGCCAATCACTCTCCGAGGATTACTACAAATGAGCAGCTCCCTGGCCAGCTGGTGGCTGCTGGCTTCTGCTTTATGACAAACATTTGCGAACAGGCTTCTTTGTATTGTGTGTGGTGGGAGGCTGGACAGGTAAGCTGGGGTACCCTATACACTGGTTGCAGGTTTTAATCTGTTAGTCACACTAGGTTATGCGGTTGATGCCACTCTTGTATGTTTTCACTGACCTTTTGTCGAGTAGCGAGGTAGGACTTTTGTTTTGCAT